CACCCCTTCTCTTTCTGTCTCTCCTTACACACTCGGCGGCGGTGACACGTTTAAACCAGCGTTCCGCCCCGCATTCCAGCGTCGGCAGCGGCACCCCCTCGCTCGCTGGCCGGCCTCGCGGTGACACACACGACGACGCTGGCTGGTGGTGAGGTGTGGTGTGGTGGTGACCGCCTCGCCGACACATCGCCGCCGCCGCGCACTACTGTTTTGTCATGCGTGTGAGTCAAGTGCTGAGCTTGTCGCGCTTGGCCGCTGCTGGAGAGCTGGCTAGAGGGAGCTGCCGGCGCGATGCCGAAGAGCTACTGAAGAGTCTGGAGATATGGCGGAGTATGGAGAGATGGAGTTTGGCGCTGCTGGAGACATGCTGCTGGAGTATATGGATCTGCTGCGGGCAGAGATGATATAAAGAGCTGAACTAAAGAGGCTGGAGTATGGAGTATGCGATGGTATGCAGTTTTGAAGTATTCTTCGGCCTGCACTGCAGCCTCCAGCCGTTGGCTTCGCCTGGATGGGGCCCTCTTTGTCCAGGATGGGGAGGCGGGGCGCGGCCTGCCCGGGCCTGCCCGTGCCTGCGCCTGCCCGTCTGTGCCAGTCTGTGCAGGTCCGTGCCTGCTCGCTCCTGCTCCTCCCGCCTGCCGAGGGGTCTCCGCCCCTTCCCCCTCCCCCATCCCTCATCATTTGAGACCCACGCACGGAGTCGTTTTGGTGTTGTTTTTCGTCTCCGCTGCTGCAGCAGCGGCCGCTCTACCGAACTCATTGAATCTCAATGTATGTAATTTTCGTGCAGCAGCAATGGCAGCCTTTCTCAAAAGCGGCCGCGAACCAAAAAGCGTCGCCTTTCCTCGAAATATTACATACATAAGAGAGGCTGACTGACTGTGCGTGGGCCTGGGGGTTTGCGAATGCTAAACGCCCGCACCGAGGTGGCTGCACACACTGCGCGCACGCACATGCTCGTGCACGCACGCACTCCTTGCCTATCTTGAGGTTGCTGCGTGCCGGAGGGGGGGGGGGGGGGGTCCTCTTTGTTGGGATGCCGGTTGCCCCCCCCCTCCCCCTTCCCCGCGCCGTGTCTCATTTCATTTCAGGGTCAGGGTTCCCCTGCGTGTCCCATAACTAGTCGGGGGAACGCCATGGGAACGCGTCTCTTGCGCGGCGCGCGGCATGGCATAGCGTGACAAGGCGGCAGCGGCGCGCGGCGTTTTTGAAAAATTTGGAAGGGGCGGGGACTTGAGTAGTACACACACACAGAAAGTCTTGATGAGCA